ATTTCTTAAAGTTTAAAAAAATACAGGTATTAATATAGAATATAAAATGACAAATGGGATACTGTGAAACATTTTGAACTTACCCCTTTCAGCATCTCTTCTTTTAGCAATTGTCTGAGTTTCCGTGCCTTTTCCAGTCTTACCAAATCAGATTTATCATTGAGGAGCTGACTCAGAGAAAACTGTTGTGAAGATGATGTAAGATCAGTTTTAGACACAAGAGTTTTGGCTTTCTCTGATATTTCAGTTGTTTCTCTATCAGGTATAGATGGAGGGACTGAAGCTTTGGGAGATATTTCTTTCACTTGGCTGCATGGCTGTATTTTTCCAGTGTCAACGGGCTGGTGTACATCTTTGCTTGAGTCTTCAGCTGGTGAAATAGTATCAGTCTTGAACAATATGCATTCCTTTGGGGACAATATTTCTTGATCAGGTGTAGTAGAGTTAGTTTCAATTGTAGCTGCTGCTTTGTCAATGACTGGTGCTGGACTCTTGACAAGAGGAAGCACTGGTTTGACTGGACACTTGGGAGTTCGAGGAAGAGCAGATGGGCGACCTGGTACTACTTTAGGCTTGACAGAAAACCTCTTTCTCCTGTGAATTGCAGATGAACACGAACCATCTCCACTTTGGTCATTTGAATCTCTTAAATAGATAAGTAGACAGAGAAACAATATAAGTGAAAACATTGTGATCCCTGGGTTTAAATCAGAAAATTAAATATAAGCTACTAACCCTGGAGTTGACTCATTCTGGGCATGAGCAGATTTGGTGTCAGTCACAGAAACAGGAGACTCAGCTTGACTGTTGGTGTTATCGGTGTCCTTATTTGATAAAGGGAGCTCCTGGTGTGCACCAGCTGTTCTTCCAATGGTACCCACATTAGGCCTAATCGATAATCTTGACCGCCGAAACATGTTAACCTTAAAAAAAAAAATAATAATAAAAAAATCAGCGAAAGAAGCAAATCGTAACTGTATCCTAATAGTATCCGTATGTATACTACAGTATCCAAGAGATTATTATAAAACTATATTAAAAGGAACTCACTTATGTTAGCTGTTAGCTGAACTCTAAAATTATGTTGTCTGGTAGTGCAAATGCATTTGTCAAAACTGAATAGAAACATGATTGTGCATTAGATCTTTTGTTCACAGCCAAAAAGCAGCACAACAGGAGCTTCTCTAGCAGTATGACTGTTGTTGAAACAATTGGGTAATAATAAAAAATAAATGTAGAGCGTCTATATTAATTGCACATTTTATCATAAACAGTTTCGACATGATAATGACAGGAGACAAGATTAGATATTTCCGTCGAGTTTACATGCCTCTACACGGCATGAGAGCATTATAATCTACACGAAGATTGGATTATGACTGTAAACACATACCTGATATTATTAAGAGTCGTCAGGTGAAAAAATAACCCATTATTAGATGTCAAAAACCTAGAATTTGCAGAAGGGGACAAGCGAGACCCTCGCGCACACTATTCCGCCATGTTTACTATGACGTATCATTTCATGACCGTAAAGCATTGTGGGAAACGTAGTCTTGTAGAATGAAGACGTTCGTATTTCAGTTCTCATTTTAAGTAGGCTATACACAGTACAACATACAATACTACTCTGTAGCAACTATAAATCGGCCACGTTTGTTAACGTTGTTGGTCATTTTAATCATGCAGCCTATTAAGGTATTAAAGGAATACTGACTTTAAACTTTAACCATGTTAAAGGCTCCTCACAGACATAGAGTTGTGTTTTGCATCATTTACTCATTTTCACCAGTTTAACTGTGTCTAGATCTCCAAAGCTCAAAATGATCCATTCCACCTTGTGATGTCATGAAGCAGTAGTTTTCAAATTAACATTTAGCAATTCCAGGACTGATATCATCCAAACGATTTTAGTGAGGGTGTGTGGAGTTTAAAAATACGGTGGAGTACGGCTATCATATAGTAATACAGGAAATATTACCATATGATAGCTAATAAGGTGCAACAGAGGGTTTTCTGTTTGAGAAAATAATTCATCCTGACAAATATGCAGGGTTTGTGTGTTAAACATGTGTGAATGAAACACGACTTCATGTATGTTTGTGATGGGGCAACATTATGACATAGATCAGAAAATAGTAATATGGGTCCTTTAAATTTGAGTGTCGGGCATATAATATTTGAGAGTAGAGAGTAGATTAATAGACAAAATTGTATCCACATCTATTTATATGGAGTGTCATACCAAAAACTATGTCTCCAAAAAAATAGGAAAAGAATAATAATATTAAGTACAATAGCAAAAAATATGGATATATTCTGGCTAAAAGATGTGTGATGTTAAAGATGTGATGGAAATGGAAAGAGTAACAGCAAGACTGCGATTTAAAATGAAGGAATTTGAGGAGTTACGGGCACTTGTAATACAAGAAGCAAGAAGATATGTGTATGTGAGTGAGTGAATATTTATGAATGTGTATGTGCATGTTATATTAATTCAGTATTAATATTATTATTATTGATTTATTTATTTTCTTGAAGGGTCACTAATTAATCAGGGGGATAAAGGGATTAAGGGAAGAAAGGTAGAGATAATATTATGCTCTGCCTTTATAATATGAAGTTTAAAAGAGATGTAGTGAAATATATGTATGTGTATGGATATATGCCTTTATATGTGCATGGATTTGTATGTGTATATATGTATATATGTGTGCGTGGGTGCACACATGCATTGTGCGTATTTGGGTGGGTGCGTGCATGCGTGTGTCTACACACATATATACATAGAGGGTACTGTTGTGAACATATAATGTAAATGAATGTAAAGGATGGATGTGTGCTTGTATGTATGTACTTATGTGTATATGACTGAATGGACATCAAACATCTCTAATGAAATGAAATGAATAAATATTAACACAAAAAAAATGTATCCACACCTTTAGCATTTCAGTGAAATTATGGCACATGTTACATGTGTAGCAGCAGTGTAGGCCTATAGAGCAGGTGTACACAAACAATAAAATTGAATAATGTAGTTGTTTTATTTGGTTATTTTGGTATTTTTTTATGGTAGACAACTTACAGTTCTTTTAATGAACAACGTTTAGCCTGCTCTTTTCTATATTTGCTGTTTTCAATAACTACTATCAGCCTATATGAGGACAAACACACCAGGTGTAAAAGACAATTTTTTGAGCTGAAAATAATAATTGAATCCAAAGTTGACATTCCTTTGAAGAGCTTCATTATTGCCATCTACTCCCAAGGCAACTGTAAAATAAATCAATAATTGTGACTAGAATGCACATTACATGATAATTTAAAATGTAAATTTACAAGACCAATTGCCCACCTTTACAAAGTCTTTTTTTCAAGCAAAAGGATCATCAAAAGCAATTCCAAGAGCACCAGTGCCAGATGAAGGGTTTGGCTGAAAAATACAATATTATATATTATGTTATACACACAATTTAGGCCATATCAGAGAATATGTTTTTTTTTTTTAAGTACCATGGTTAAAACTGGTGCTATGGATGGACTTGATGTTGAAACCCCAAAAGCATCATCAAATATGCCCTGGTTGAGATTTTGGCTTTGTGCAGGAGTCTTTGCTGGAGCAGAAGAAAATGCAGCATCTAGAAGGCCCAGGTCAAAGCTTGCAGCAGGCATTGGAGTTGGAGCTGGTTTTGGTGTGCCTACGTGAATTAAAGTACAATTAAGAAAGTGCCTATAAAACGTTTAATGTCTTGAACAGGGGTCTTACCATTAGCTGCTGCTGAGATTTGATGTATATCAAAATCATCATGATCTGCTGCATCCTGAGCCACACCCACTTTACTGGAGAAGTACTGCTCAAATGCACCTTCTTCTTTACTGCCAAGGACTGGTGCTATGTTTGTCCCTTGTTCACCTTTTCTTGCTGGAATGGCTGGGGGCTTGGCGATTTTGAAGTCTTTGAACATGTCCTTTCCCATCTTCTTTTCTTTATCTCCCAGAGGATCCAAAGCTGTGAAGGCATTGTTTTCTACCTTTGGTGGCTCTTTTACAGGTGGTCGAGGAGGGGGCCTAGCTGGACCTTGCTGGTCACCCATAGCAGAAAATGGCCCGGAGTGAAAAGGATTAGTAGAAGGTTGACCCCACCCTGGGCCAACAGGGGGCATTGTTGCACTAGGCTGACCCCAAGCAAGGTGAGGTGGAGATAAAGGTGGAGCAAACTGAGGTGGCATTTGTGGGCCCCATGCAGAGGGGGGTATGGGTAACCCACCAAAGGCAGATGGCTGCGGATAAACAGGTCTGGGAGCAGCAGGCATAACCCCTGGCATGTTTAAAATGGAAGGTGTGGTGGTGGGGGCTCCCCACACTGGTGCAGCAGTGGAATTTGAAGGAGGTGGACCTAACTGAAGATTTTCTATGAAAACAAACAAACAAAAAAATTTAAAACAAAAACATAAAATCTGACAGATTTGTGCAAATGCAAGTTACCTAAAGCAGCTAAAGATGATGGCTTGTCATTTGCAGAGGTACTGTTAAAAAGGTCACCTGCAGCAGATGATCCTTCAGACTGACCAGTACCAGCAAACAGATCTGCCCCAAAAAGGTCACTTGATGTAGACTACTCAGAAAATAATAACCATTAGAAGCAGATAGTACTAAATAGAAAACATTAGGTATTTATGATCTATATCCATGCAAGTGCTTTCAAATGCATTACTTTTTATACCTGAAGCATAACATACAGACATGCAAGAATAGTTTTGATTTCTTTTCATCAGAAGGACAACAAGCATATGACAAGACATGCAAGAGGAAAAGGTTCAACCAAATTATACTGAGTGTAGACCAGAGGTAACCAACTTAAAGTCCCAAATGCCCTGACAACCATGTTCCCTGAGAATTTATGATAACCCTAAATGCAAACCACATGCAGCATCCCAAATAGCCTACTTAAAAGACTGAAGTTTCACCTTTGTGCTTCTTCTTCGTCCAGTCTTAAAGCTTTGGGGAGGTGGACTAATCACTATGGAGTCTTTGCTATAATAATGCCTATCGTTTTGAGAGTTTCTATGACTTGTGTTATTTAATGACAGGGAATTTTCCAGAACATTTTCAAAAAATGGGTTACTAGTTGAAAAAGATGAGTCCAAATTATTTCCATCCATTATGGTATTCGTGCTGTCTTCTGATATTCTACCTCCTAGTGGCCAGTAACCATGGGTGATAGCAAGGATCATAGTTTTACTGGATAATTCATTTATTTGGGTAAGGTGTTCAGAGTCCACATTTAAAACATTGTTATTGACTGTATTAACAACGTTGCCAGCAGTGTTGTTTAAGCAGTTGTTAGTGTCCATGGAGAGTTTTGAAATATTCTGTGGGGGTGATTTTGAAAGTGGGTCATCTCTAAAAGGGTCATTATCAGGGGTTGGGAAATAACCAAATTTTTCAGAAAATGTCTTGACTGTTTTATGGTTAAGGGCACAAGATGTAACATAGGATTTTCTATTTATATGGTTCTGATTGCAGTCAACATCAGCAGAAAAATCCAGCAACAGAATGTCATTAGCTTCCTGCTTAACATGAGGGCAGAAAACAAAGAGAATCATAAATCAGTTCACATAAAAATGACAAAAAGTGTGAAATATGACATATCAATCAAATGTTAAAGAGATTAGTTCTTAAACAACACTTCCTTGTATTGTTTAAGGACTAAATTTCAAATAGATTTCGACATACAAAAAGAACATTATTGTAGCTCACATAAGTGGAACATTGGTGTAATTAAATGTGTGGCTTTTTACACATTTATTTCCTAATTTTAAGCCAAAATACTTACATTTGGAGCCTGGATGTCTGGAGGGGTTGTTATGTCTCCAAAAAGGTCAGGCTGCTCAATTGGCTGATGGGAAAATGAAACAAAACTTATCGATATATCAAACTAGAGGAACAATTCATATTATTTTAAATAATCAACTCCTACTTGTTCTGTTTTTCCTGCATCCATTTTTAACAAGGCGTCCTCTCCATTCTAAAAACAAATTGTAAAAAGTCAGTCTTTCTGCAAGCAAATAAAAACATAGTCTCATTTTATAAATGGTTACCTCAACTACGGTGCTGCCATTTTCTCCCTGGAAAAAGATGCAGACTGTTAATGGATTTACTTATGGGTTTTTTCACATCATTTCAATGGAATGCCTGAAGTTGTGATTCACTGACAGAGCACAGAGAGGCACTGTTGGGTTTTCATGCTACATACAGTGTACCTTGTTGCTGTTTCAAGAGCAGTGAGGTAATGTCTTTGAAAGGAAATTGTTCTCTCAGAGAGGCCTTACAAAACTCTGTGCCAAACTCTTTACCTTTATGCCTTTCTGTGCAGCCTCTGCCTCCTTCTTTCTCATGTTGAAGATGACCTGAAATAAATCTTTTAGGTCGATGACGAGTGGTTCAGCCTGTGTTAAGACAGAAGTTTTTTTGTTTTTGTTTTTTCTAAATAAAAGGTACATGTTGATTTTACCTCATGTAT